CTTGGGCAGCCTCAGCCAGCTGGGAGCCTGGCACGCAGTGGATGTCCCGGAAGGCCTGGGCTGGCACCTTTGAAAGCAGGATCAGATGGACGAGTGTGTTTCTCTGAGAGGCAGGGTGCCCATTTTTCCTTTCGCTGCAGATACCACACACTTGGCAGTGCACTGGTCTTTATTTAAAATTAGGATGTGTTACTCATCATAACATTATGGAGGTTCTTTTGGCATTAATATTGGTGTTTCAGGTTTGACATGACCATATTTCTCTTTTTCCTGTGTTCTCCAGCCAGGACTGTTCTTCTGCCGCCTCTGACCTCACTGTCTCACTGGACGGACAGATGGACGCAGGCTCATCCCGCCTCATTCCTGGCTGCTTTCTCACCCGCCTGCCTGTGGCTTGGCTGGGCTCCCCGGGCTGAGCCAACTTTCTCCGAGGCTTTCCCGCCTCCCGGCTGCCTCCCACTCCCCTCTGGGCAGCTCCAGCCTCACCACCCTGAGGGTGCAGAGTCAAGTCGGGACAGGCCCCGGCTGTCTAGGCCCGCCAGTTGCATCAGCTTTCTGTCCATGGGGTGAGGGCTGCCGGTCTTGGCCGTGACCCCATCTGGGTCGCTGACACTCTGGGGATCCTTGCCCTGAGTCTGGGCACACTTGACCTTTCTCCACACCCAACCCCACCCGTGTATTTTAACAATCCTAAGAGCAGAAAGGGTCATTGTTGTAATGGTCATGGGTGGCACCCAGCAACCGCTGTCAGCCAGGAAGCTGCTTCGACCCAGTTGTCACTGTCTGGAAGTGACAGTGGAGCTGCCATGAGGGCCTGGGGGAGGAAGGGGAGGAGGAATAAAATGATTCAGGGAGCCACTTGGGTGCCAAGGACCCCCCAAAGTGAGACTGCATGGCTTGAGTGATCTTAAAGAGAGAAGGAGAGACAAAAAGAGCTTCCACTCACTGGTTCACTCCAGAAGTGGTCACAATGGTAGGAGCTGAGCTTCCTCCGGGTCTCCCATGTGGGTGCAGGGTCCCCAGGCCTTTTGCACCGTCCTCTTCCACGTCTCCCACATGGATGCAGGGTCCCCAGGCTTTGGGCCGTCCTCTACTGCTTTCCCAGGCCACAAGCAGGGAGCTATGGGAAGTGGGGCAGCCGGGACATGAATCAGCACCCACATGGGATACTGGTGCTTGCAAGATGAGGATGTAGCCACTGAGCCATCACTCTGGGCCTCTCCAAGGGAATTCTTAGTGAGACAAGTTCACCACAGGGTTAGAGACTCAGGATAAGTCAGCACTTCCCCAGTCGGCTCGCAGAGAGCTCTTCCATGAACGGCAATGTGAACTGGGGGGCAGCCCACCCAGCATGCACGACGTCATGCAGTCAGATCGTGACACTCTCGAGATGGCCATAAGCGCAATGGCTCAGCTGGCTAATTCTCTGCCTCCAAACCCCTGCATCCCATATGGGCGCCGGTTCGTGTCCTGGCAGCTCCACTTCCCATCCAGCTCCCTGCTTATGACCTGGGAAAGCAGTGGAGGACAGCCCAAAGCCTTGGGACCCTGCACCCGCCGTGTGGGAGACTCAGAAGAAGTCCCTGGCTCCTGGCTGGGTTGTGGCCACTTGGGGAGTATACCAATGGATAGAAGATCTTTCTATCTCCTCCTCCCTGTAAATCTGTCTTTCCGATACTACTACTAGTACTACTACTACTAATAATAATAAGATTTCTGTAAAAGGGCAAGGAAATGGGCTGTACTTAAGCCCCATTGTAAACCACTCACCCCACCCCAACTCCGCACCCACGCGTCCCTATCTGAGGAGGGGACACTGAGAGAGCCGGGGTGCTGCTCCCTGCGCCTGCACTTTGCTCCTCGCGTGCTAGACAATCTTGCCTCTCTGCTGACCTTGACTTGCTTGCATTTCGGCCGTGGCTGGGATGGCCTGAACCCAAGAGTCCCACTCCGCTGCTGCTGTGGAGCCCGGGACCAGCCCCTGAGTGCCTGATATGGTGAAGGCAGAGGGGCAGGAAGGGGGAGCCTGACTCTGGGGGTGCGCTTAGGGAAGGTGCCCTGCATCACTGCCTTGATCCCTGTGACCTCCTGTCCTCAGGCCTGGAGGCCCTAGGGGAGCAGAATGCATGGGGCCCTGTGGGCGGCTCTGGGGGTGCGGTTCCCGCATGCAGTCTGTAAATTATTCCACCTCCTAACTGCAGCTGCCTAGGTCTGTGCCTGTATGTGTGTGTACATGTATGTGTGTACGTGTGTGTACATGTGTGTACGTGTGTGTTGTATCTCTGTGTGGTCAGTGGCTCTAGATTGTGGATCCTTTTGGGTTGCTCTCTCTCTCTCTCGGACTGGGGGTGCAAATCTTGGGGAACTATTGGGTGCCTATTCTTATTGCTATGCTTAGTGGCCTAGAATGCGTGATGCTGCTTTTTAAGTTCTTTATTTGTATTTGCAACGGAGACACTGAGAGACCAAAAGAGCTCTTTCACTGTCTGGGTTTGCTCTCTGATCGCCTGCAGTGGCCAGGGCCGGAGCCGGGAGCCGGGAGCATAACCCAGGACCTGTGTGTGTGCCGCAGGAACCCTGGTAGCAGAGCCTCTACCGCGACTGCCTCACGAAGGGTGGGATGCCTGGGCACAGCCACATGCTGGGCAGGGAGGAGGTCAGAGCTCAGAAGTCCGCAGAGCAGACTGAGGGTGGGGTGGCCGCCCTGGGGCCTCAAGCCCTGGCACCACGTGCTCCTCGGAGGGGGGTAGGCTAGCAGGCATGCCAGGCTGCGCCATGCACCTGGGCCTTGGTCCTGGGGTGAAGGTCAGGGAGGTTTTGAGCTCTTTTTAGAGAGATCTTGGGGGTCCAGGGTCACCAAATAGTGACCTCAGTAGCTGCTGGGGAAGTGTGCGAGGTCCCCTGCCCCTGGGGACCCCACCCCCTGACATCACTGTCCCATTATTGTGCCAGGCCCCACTGACCAATAGGCTGCTGCTTGCTGTTATAATGGGCCCTAGCAACAAACTTGGAGCTTGGGCTAACAGGACAAGAGACCCCCACCAGCAGGGAGAGTGTGAGGGGAGAGGGGAGCCTGCAGGGCAGGTGAGTGCCCCCCACCCAAGGGCAGGGCCCTCCTACAGACCCCCAGGGCTGGGTGGCTGGGTAGCTGGGTGTGCAGGGTCGAGTCTTCCTATTCTAAGGCGGGAGCCCTAATTCTGCTTTGATGGGTGGGGACAGGGCCCTGGAGGGAGGGGGCTGGTCAGGACAAGGCAGAGGTCAGCAGGGGGAGGGGGGAGGCTAAGGAGACCCAGGGCTCAGCAGGAACATGCGACCACAGCAGCAGGGTGAGGGGGCTCAGGGACACTGGTTGGAATACCGATTGTGCCCAAGGGCGCGTCACTTGTCTGTGTAAGCCTCGGCTGGGGACAGGGATCCCAGGTGTGTGTGTTCCCCAGGGCTCCCTGAGGGGTCAGAGTGGAATTTAGAGGCAAGGGCAGGAAGAGTAAGTCTGGAAGAACAGGGACCCTGGCAGTTCGGCATGGCATGAGGGAAGGGGTCCCTGGTCTCCAGAAGACAGGTGGGCAAACTGAGGCTAGGGGGCGGGACTGGCCATGGCCTCACCCAGCTCGCCATCGCAGGTCCCCCACCCCATGTCCCGGCACTCCTCATACTAGGTCTTCCCAGTTGGTCTTGGGTTCCAAAGGCTGGGGTGGGGGGGTTCCTGCTCACCAGGTGGGAGGAGGCAGCTGGGGCTCAGAGAGGGCGGGGCCAAGCTCACAGTCACCCTGCTCTGGCTATTCAGATGCGGAGGAGGACCCCAAAACCACCAAGTGCCCGCTCAGTCCGGCCACTTCTCTGGGAGAAGGAGCCACCAGCAGCTGGTTCAGATACAAGAGATTTTTTTCTTGTTTTGTTTTGTTTTTGTTTTTGTTTTAAGGATTTACTTATTTATTTGAGAATCCAGGATGATGATTCAATAGCTAAATCCTCACCTTGTAAATGCAGGGATCCCATGTGGGCACCAGTTTATGTCCCGGCTGCTCCACTTCCCATCCAGCTCCCTGCTTGTGGCCTGGGAAAGCAGCAGAGGATGGCCCAAAGCCTTGGGACCCTGTACCTGCATGTGGGAGACCCGGAGGAACCTTCTAGCTCCTGGCTTCAGATTGGCTCGGTTCTGGCTGTTGCAGCCAATGGGAGAGTGAATTTGGATGGAAGATCTTCCTCTTTGTCTCTCCTTCTCTTCATAAATCTGATCTGCCTTTCCAATAAAAATAAATAAATCTAAAAAACAAGCTTAATGCTACAGATTTATTTATTAGAAAGGCAGAGTTGAGAAAGGGATCTTCCATTTGCTGTTCACTCCCCAAATGGCTGCTATGGCTGGAACATCATTGATCCAAGCACTTGGGCCTTCTTCCACTGCCTTCCCACACCATTAGCCGGAAGCTGGATGGGAAGTGGAGCAGCCGGGACTTGAACCGGCGCCCAATGGGATGCTAACATCATAGGTTAATCCACAGCGTTACTATCCTGGTAGGAGAGATCAGGCCAGCGAGAAAGGCAGGGATGAGTGATTTGGGGGAGAGTGGGAGGCGGCCTGTGACCCTCACCTAGGCCTATCCCTCCACTAGGTCCCTATTCTCCGCTCTCCCTGCCCACTGCCTCCTAAAATAATACAGAGGTGGAGGAAGAGGGGGTCGGGTGCTGCGGTCCCGCCCTTCCCCACCCGGTCCTGGCTTAGTCACTGGCCAGGTCCCCGGTTCAGGAAGGACATGGAATTCCAGCCTGGGTCGGCACTAGGGAGCCCCCGTTTCTGTGTCACCCCCCAAAGACTCCAACAGCGCCCCCTGGCAGCTCCCTCGCCAGATTTCTGAAACCATCAGAGAGGTTTTATTCTGGGGGGCCCACGGTGGGACGCAAGGGCCTGGCTCACACCTGCTTGCGCGCTCTCTCGCGCTCTCTCTCTCTCTCTCTCTCTCTCCCCTCTACCCTACCCCACCCCAAGGCCCAGGAGGCGCGAACGGCTCCCTTCTCCGCAGACGCCGCTGACGATCACGCGTGTGCGTGACTCTCCCCCGCGTCCCCCACTCACCCCGGCCCTGCCCTGCCCCCGCTCTGACCCGGCCATCACCATGGCGACCTCCAAGGCTCCAGCGGTGCCTGGAGAAGAGGAGACCACCATCCTCATGGCCAAGGAAGAGCTGGAGGCCCTGAGGACGGCCTTCGAGTCGGGCGACATCCCGCAGGCCGCCTCCCGCCTGCGCGAGCTGCTGGCTTCCTCGGAGAGCACGCGCCTGGAGGTGGGCGTCACGGGCGAGTCCGGCGCGGGCAAATCTTCGCTCATCAACGCCCTGCGCGGCGTGGGCGCCGAGGACCCGGGCGCGGCGCTCACGGGCGTGGTGGAGACCACGCTGCAGCCGTCGCCGTATCCACACCCGCAGTTCCCAGACGTGACCCTATGGGACCTGCCTGGGGCCGGCTCTCCAGGCTGTCCAGCCGACAAGTACCTGAAGCAGGTGGATTTCAGCCGCTACGATTTCTTCCTGCTGGTATCGCCCCGTCGCTGCGGGGCGGTGGAGACGCGCCTGGCCTCCGAGATCCTGCGCCAAGGGAAGAAGTTCTACTTCGTGCGCACCAAGGTGGACGAGGACCTGGCCGCCACGCGCACGCAGCGGCCCTCGGGCTTCAGCGAGGTGGCTGTGCTGCAGGAGATCCGTGAGCATTGCGCCGAGCGCCTGCGCGCCTCGGGCGTCGGCGACCCCCGCATCTTCCTCGTGTCCAACTTGTCGCCCACGCGCTACGACTTCCCGCTGCTCGTTACCACCTGGGAGCATGACCTGCCAGCCCACCGGCGCCATGCAGGCTTGCTTTCGCTGCCGGACATTTCACTGGAAGCCCTGCAGAAGAAGAAGGACATGTTGCAGGAGCAGGTACTCAAGACCGCCCTGGTGTCCGGCGTCATCCAGGCGCTGCCCGTCCCCGGGCTGGCAGCCGCCTACGACGATGCGCTGTTGGTGCGCTCCCTGCGTGGCTACCACCGCAGCTTCGGCCTGGACGACGATTCACTGGCCAAGCTGGCCGAACAGGTGGGCAAGCAGGCCGGCGACCTGCGCTCGGTCATCCGCTCCCCGCTGGCCAACGAGGTCTCCCCCGAGACGGTGCTGCGGCTCTACGCGCAGTCGTCGGACGGCGCCATGCGCGTGGCCCGAGCCTTCGAGAAAGGTATCCCCGTGTTCGGCACGCTGGTGGCGGGTGGCATCAGCTTCGGCACCGTCTACACCATGCTCCAGGGCTGCCTCAACGAGTTGGCCGAGGACGCCCAGCGGGTGCGCATCAAGGCCCTGGAGGAGGACGAGCCGCAGGCCGAGGTCAGCCTGGAGGCGGCGGGCGACGGCGGCGTGGAGAAGCGGACCTCCGTGGAGAGCGGCGGCTGCTGCGATGAGGCCCCGCTGTCCACCCGCCGGAAGCTCGGTCTCCTGCTCAAATACGTCCTGGAAAGCTGGAAGAAGCGCGACTTGACGGAAGACAAGTAGAGGCGCGGCCCTGCCCCCTGCCCTGCCCATAAACCGCGGCTCCCCGGGAGCGAACGCACACACAAAAAAAGAGGTGGCAGTGGTGCAGACCCGAGGTGCGCTTCCTGGGCCCAGGTGGGGGCGCCGGGGTCGGAGGGGAAAAAGGGGCTTTGGCCTTGGGGAGAAGGGTCCAACATTCCTTGGGGAGGTTGTGTGTGTGTGTGTCCCTTGTCCTTAGGGCCAGTTGTGTGGCACGAGAAGGTGGCTGCACCTCACTCGGGAGCCCCCAGCTAGCCTCTGGGTGGTTGAGTGATGGCAGGGTTTTACTCTCGCGTTTCCCCTTCGTGAGAGCCTGGAAGTTCCTCCAGAGAGGCGGCTGGGGCCTGGGATCTGCCTGGTGGGACCCTGTGACCACCCGGTTAAACAGGGTGGGGACAGCAGGCCTCTTGGCCAGGCAGGGGTGGCAGGAGTGAGTTGAGGGGACTAGATGGCCTTAGGGCTGGGCTGGCAGCATGAGACGGCAGGCGGGGTGGGGGGAGGGGAGGGCATTTACAGCTCTGGGGGAGGGGAGAGGCTGGGGTACCACCACGGCTTACCCCTGGCCAGGACCCAAGGTTGCCTACAGGAAGTCAAGTGGAGTCTGTGTTGGGGTTGGGTGTGCACAACTGTGAGATCCTGGGGGGGCCCTGTGACCGTGGCCGCGGCTCTAAGGCTGGGAGCTGTGGGCTGAACTGTGGGCTGGTCAGAGGCGTGTGTGTGTGTCTGGTCAGGTGTGTGTGTGTATGGCTGGTGAGGTGTGTGTGTGTGTGTGTGTGTGTGTGTGTGGCTGGTGAGGTGTGTGTGTGTGTGTGTGTGTGTGTGTGTGTGGCTGGTCAGGTGTGTGTGTGTGTGTGTGTGTGTGTGTGTGTGTGTGTGTGTGTGGCTAGTCAGGTGTGTGGTGTGTGTGTGTGTGTCTGGTCAGGTGTGTGTGTGTGTGTCTGGTCAGGTGTGTGTGTCTGGTCAGGTGTGTGTGTGTGTGTCTGGTCAGGTGCATGTGTGTCTGTGTGTCTGGTCAGGTGTGTGTGTGTGTGTGTCTGGTCAGGTGTGTGTGTGTGGCTGGTCGGGTGTGTGTGTGTGGTCAGGTGTGTGTGTCTGGTCAGGGGTGTGTGTGTGTGTCTGGTCAGGTGTGTGTGTGTGTGTGTGTATGTGGCTAGTCAGGTGTGTGTGTGTCTGGTCAGGTGTGTGTGTGTGTGTCTGGTCAGGTGTGTGTGTCTGGTCAGGTGTGTGTGTGTGTGTGTCTGGTCAGGCATGTGTGTGAGCACTTGGATCTTGTAGGATGGCAGCTAGGGATGGGGGTGCATTCTAAGAGGGAAGGTGACTGAGTCAGGCAGGGTGACAGGCTGCAGACAATGCGCTGGTCAAGGGGACGGTGTCCAGCCTGTGTCCCGGGGACAGTGGCCTCTGTGGCACTGCCCAGGTGCTTGCTGTGTGTCGGGCTCTGGAGGGAGGAGGCTGCCCCTTGGACCTGTGCCAAACCAAACTCTGACCTGTGGAGGCAAGCCTGTTTTGAAGATTCAAGACTCCAAGGGGGGGGGGGTGTGGCTGACAAGTGCTGCTCCAGGGCTTGGCTCAAGGGCATGGTGGGGGCTGTGGGGAAGCAGGTGGGGAGTGCCCAGTTGAAGCTTAAAGATTGGGGGAAAGTTGGGGTGCAGAACTGGCTGCAGCGGTGCTGGGAGCCAGGGCACCCACTGCCTGTATGGTGAGTATTGGAGCTACTGGAGGCCGAGCCTGGAGCTGAAGCATCACTGACCCTGAGAGATTGGGCGGAGGGCCAGATGGATTAAACAGAGAAGTAGGGTGGGAGAGTTGTGGCACAGTGGAGTAAGCTGCTGCTTGGGACACCTTCATTCCCTATTGGAGCACCGGTTCAAGTCCTGACTCCAGAGGATCCAGCTCTCTGCATTAGCACACGGGACGGCAATGGGTCCCTGACACTCCCACAGGAGACCCGGACAGAGTTCCAGATCTGGGGAGTGAACCAGCAGATAAAGATCTTTCTCTCTGTGTCCATCACTCCACTTTTCAAATAAATTACAAATAAACAGAGTGGTGACTTCTCAGACTGGGCTCTGGGCAGCAGGAAGTGGTTAGGGTGAGGTGGGAGTTCAGATCCCTTGGCTCAAGAGCTTGGCTGGACAGGGCTGGAACGCATGGCCAGAGACCAAAACAGGGTACAGTGGGCTCACCTCATTGGACCTGGGCCTCCCTTTGGAGACCCCCATGGTGCCTGGCTGGGGTCTCGTGTGTGTATGTGTAGGGGAAAGTGGCACCTCCTGCTGATCTCGGTGTGTCTCCCGTGGGGCTGAAGAGGAGGGCTAGGGCGCAGGGTCCCCATCTTGGGGAAAACCTGCAAGGTTCGTGAAGGTCCTGGGTGGGTGGCAGAGGGGAACTGGGGTACAAAGAGTTGGTCTTGGCCCCCCGGGGAGGGGCTCACATCTACTCCCTGCAGATCTCAGGCCCCACTGGGGAATGGGGAAGGTCTGAGCTACCCTGACTCGACAACAGAACTGGAGCCCCTCTCCCTGGAGGTCTCCCACAGGCTCAGCCAGATCCGTGGGCTCACAGGTCCCCTGTGCACCAAGGGGGTGGGCATCAGACCGTCCGGGGTGAGGGCCAGTCCACCCGAGCTAGTCTTTTCTCTCCGCCCTGCTCACCCCTGTGGCTCCTCAGACAGAGCTGCCCAGCCTGCCGTTCCAGGTCCTTCCCAAGCTGGCCTCTGCCTGTGCCCACTTTGGGAAGACCATGAAACAGCAGAGGTAGGCAGAGGTAGGCAGAGCTGGCTGTGCATCTCACAGGTGACAGAAGGAGCCCTGTTGCCCTGCCCAGCTCCTTCAGAGAAGGGCAGCAAAGATGGCGGCAGGGACCAAGCCGGCCTAGTACTACCTACCCAAGCTCTGGTACAGCAGGGACCAGGTGTTCCTGCTCGGGGCCTGCAGACACCAAGGCCGAGGTGGGAAGGGGCCTGCCCTGGCATATGCCTGCTATGGCTATTGTGCCAACAGAAGCACTCAGGAGGCACAAGGCAAGCCAAGGCGGGCACAGCTGCCACAGACACCACCCATCTTCCTCCAGGCCCTGGACTGCAGCATGCAGAGGTGGCATGGTATTGAGAGCCCTTGGGTGGGCACACGGGGGGTGGGGAGTATCTGCAGAGCGAAGTATCTGAGACAAAACCACGCAGGCAGGAAGACAGGCCACGGAAGAGGTGAGCTGCTGGCAAAGGTCCCATGGCCGATGGTGGGAAGGAGGCACATTGTGTCAGGAGGTCATGGTTGTGCCCAAACTTGGGTTCTTCTCCCATCTTAACCTTTGAGGGACCCTGCACCCCCAAAAGTGTTAACCTCTCAAAGGAGCACCACTCTGGGAACCAGGCTTTTAGCAGATGGGCTGGCTTTGGGGACATTCGGCATTCCAACCACTGTGGGCAGCACTAGGGTACTCGGCATGCCACAGGCCCACACTGCACCCACGGGAAGACCTGTGGATACCAGGGCCAGGTTCAACAAGCTGACTTCTGCCACCCCCTCCCCTCCAAGGGGCTGGGAGATCAAGACCTCAACTGCATGGGGATGGCGGGAATGACAAGGGGCCTCGTGGGGCACCTGCAGGAGTGGCCTAAGTGCCTCAACTTTGCCTTCTGCACTTCAGAACCACAGCTCATGGCAGGCGAGGGCATGGGTGGTGCCGCCCTGGCACCTTCTCCGAGTGCTTGGACAGATCTGAAGGCTGTCAGCTGGAGGCTCAGGGGAGCTCATCTTCAGGTGGAGGCTCTGAGAGGGAACACTGGGGGAACAGAGGCAGCCCCACAGCACGTGGCCACCCGCCTGCGTGTAGGTCCATCCCGGCTCCTGAGAGCAAGTGCTATGTGCCAGTGGGGGGTTTGGTAGCGGCTGACCTTCCAGTCACGCCTGGAGCCATGCTGGTGCACTTGTCACAGTCTTCCATGCCTGGCTCCCTCTCTCCCCAGGAGATGGGCATCGTTGTAGGCCACATAAGTGGCGGTAGCAGCAAGGGACAGGGTGTGTGAGCCAGGCAGCCAATGCCAGGGTGCCATCCTTAGCTCAGGTGTGTGCTGGAGTTCATGCAATCTGCTCCGGTGTGGAACCAGGCTGTGTGGCCTGTGGCATTAGGGTCCACACCAGGATGGGGTCGTGTGTAACCTGCCCACCCACCTCACTGCCAACAAGGCTGGTCTCATAGCTGGTGGAGCCCCTGAGGGCAGCACAGGGCCTACCCACTGACGTCTCCGCTATTCACTGCCCTGCCTCACTCAGCACGGTACGCAGTACTGAGATGGGTGGATTCAGATGCTCCTGGGCAAGGCAGAGGGCACACCTGCCTGTCCCCAGGCTGAGGAGATGGCTGGGAAACACAGGCCGAGCTCCAGTTCACCTGGACAGGGCACCTCCTGTGTTCTAGACCTTTCTGCCTTTCTCGGATCCTCTGCCTGGCCAGCCCAAAGGCAACCAGCAGAGGCAGCCATGGGAGGACGGAAAAGGGAAGCAGGCAGTGGGGACTGCAGGTCCAGGTCCTGGGCAGACTGCGGCCGTGGGCGGGCCTGGAAGCAGCTCTGTGGGAGGGCGGAGGTGCCTGCACAGAGAGGGGTCAGCCAGGGGTGCAAGCGCCACAGCATGCTAGCCTGGGCCTGGAGCCTCGCAGGTCAGGCCCTGCATCGAGCTCACCCCAGCCAGAGGGCTTTCCTCAGCACCACCACCCTTGGGCATGCAGCCTTCCCCAAGGCCCAGGACACCTCCAGGAAGGACAGAGCACCAAGAGAGCGTCAGTGACATGGAAGAGCCCTGGGGACAGCCCCAGTCGGCCACAGCACAGCCTCACAGAGCAGCGGTGGACAGAGGCCATGGGCGAGGGCTGAAGAGGGGGGGCACTTCACTGCACTGTTTAACTGTGCACTGTTTAACTGAGCAGACCGGGTAGGTCCTTCAGCTACCTACAGGTAATCCGCCCCAGGAAAGTTCTGGACT